TTAATTACATTGATATGTCACTCTGTGGAATTCGAGGACGAATTTCAATATAGCAGGGGAGTCACGGTTCAAAACTGACTATTTAGGGGAGATGATTGTTAGGGTCGGAATAGCGCCCGTCGGGAGACCCCGCGGTACGATATTCGAGGGTCCCCGGGGCGAGTCCGATTTTAGGCGCAAAATTTTTTTTTACCCTGTGACATATGGCCCTAAAATAATAATAGAGAAACTCTCTCTAACTCTTTCGATTTTTAAAAGATTTATTTCATGTATGTGTTGATAAGGAAAATATATGAATTGGTATTGTTCTATATCAAGGTTTCTATTATAAAATAATAATTCACTGAATTCGTGGAAATGATCAAACAATTGATCAAGTCATATATTTAACTATTTTCATCATACACACACATTGTTCTACAGCGTACATGATGTTTATTATAAAATACTATTTTCCATATACTCATGTTTTTCCAATATTTAATAAATATATTACATACATGAATATGACTTAACAGAAAGAAAATATGTAGATCTTTATTATCTAAGAAGAGGTAAAAGGCTTCCCATTTATTACATGATAATGGAGATCTAGAATGTTGTTTCCGACATAATACCATTACTATTTGTTTGAATATATAGTTCAAATTCAAACTGGTATATAATACATAGGTTCCTATAGATTCTACTAGACGGGACACAACTCTCATTGATTTTACTAAAAGTGACACAGCTCTCATGGATTTTACTAGAAGGGGCACAGCTCTCATTGATTTTACGAGAAGGGACTCAGCTCTGTTGGATTTAACTAGAAGGGACAAAGCTCTCATTGATTTTACTAGAAGGGCCTCAACTCTCATGGATTTTATTAGAAGGGCCTCAGTTCTCATGGATTTTACTAGAAGAAACACAGCTCTCATTGATTTCACTAGAAGGGACTCAGCTCTCATGGATTTTACTAGAAGGGACACAGCTTTCATTGATTTTAATAGAAGGGCCTAAGCTCTCATGGACTTTACTAGAAGGTCCTCAGCTCTCATGGATTTTACTAGAAAGGACACAGCTCTCATTGATTTTACTAGAAGGGACTCAGCTCTCATGGATTTTACTAGAAGGGACACAGCTCTGATGGATTTTACTAAAAGGGACACAGCTCTCATGGATTTTACTAGAAGGGTCTCAGCTCTCATGGATTTTACTAGAAGGGACAAAGCTCTCATGGATTTTACTAGAAGGGCCTCAGCTCTCATGGATTTTACTAGAAGGGACACAGCTTTCATTGATTTTACTAGAAGGGACTCGGCTCTCATGGATTTTACTAGAAGGGACACAGCTCTCATTGATTTTACTAGAAGGAACACAGCTCTCATTGATCTTACTAGAAGGGACACAGCTTTCATGGATTTTACTAGAAGGGACACAGCTCTCATTGATTTACCTAGAAGGGCCTCAGCTCTCATGGATTTTACTAGAAAGGCCTCAGCTCTCATGGATTTTACTACAAGGAAACAGCTATCATTGATTTTACTAGAAGGGACACAGCTCTCATTGATTTTACTAGAAGGGACTCTGCTCTCATGGATTTTACTAGAAGGGACTCGGCTCTCATGGAATCTACTAGAAGGGACTTGGCTCTCGTGGATTTTACTAGAATAGACACATCTCTCATTGATTTTACTAGAAAGGACTCAGCTCTCATGGATTTTACTAGAAGGGACTCGGCTCTCATGGATTTTACTAGAAGGGACACAGCTCTTATGGATTTTACTAGAAGGGACACAGCTCTCATTGATTTTACTAGAAGGGACACAGCTCTCATTGATTTTACTAGAAGGGACTCTGCTCTCATGGATTTTACTAGAAGGGACTCGGCTCTCATGGAATCTACTAGAAAGGACTTGGCTCTCGTGGATTTTACTACAAGGGACACAGCTCTCATTGATTTTACTAGAAAGGACTCAGCTCTCATTGATTTTACTAGAAGGGACTCGGCTCTCATGGATTTTACTAGAAGGGCCTCAGCTATCATGGATTTTACTAGAAGGGACTCAGCTCTATTTGATTTTACTAGAAGGGACATAGTTCTCATTGATTTTACTAGAAGGGACTCGGCTCTCATGGATTTTACTAGAAGGGACTCGGCTCTCCTGGATTTTACTAGAAGGGACACAGCTCTCATTGATTTTACTAAACGGGACATAGCTCTCATGGATTTTTTCTAGAAGAGACTCGGCTCTCATGGATTTTACTAGAAAGGACTCAGCTGTCATAGACTATTCAAATAGGGTCTGGACTCTTATGGATATTACTTAAACTCTCATGGATTTTATTGGAAGGAACTCAGCTCTCATGGAAGAGACTAGAAGAGACACGGCTCTCATGTATTTTACTATTAGGGACTCTGCTCTTATGGATTTTACTAGAAGGGTCTCAGCTCTCATGCATAATAAAAGAATCTGGACTCTTATGGATTTTACTAGAAGGGGCTCAACACTCATGTATTTTACTAGAAGGGGCTCAGCTCTCATGAAATATTCTAGAAGCGTCTGGACTCTCAAGGATTTTACTAGAAGTGACATAACTTATATGGATTTTTTAGACGGGAATCAGCTCTCATGGATTTTTCTAGAAGGGCCACAACTCTCATGGATTATACAAGAAGGGTCTGGGCTCTGTTGGATTTATTAGAATGGACACAATTTTTATAGATTTTATTAGATGGAAATCAGATCTCATGGATTCTACTAGAAGGGACACAGCTCTCATGGATTTTACTACAAGGGGCTCAACTCTCATAGATTTTATTAGAAGGAACTCAGCTCTCATGGATTTTACTAGAATGAACTCAGCTCTCATGGATTTTACTGCAAGGGACTCAGCTCTCATGCATTATACTAGATGGGTCTAGACACTCAGGGATTTTACTTGAAGGGGCTCAACTCTCATTGATTTTACTTGAAGGCACTTGGCTCTCATGGATTTTACTAGAAGAGACTCAGCTCTCATGGATTTTACTAGAAGGGTCTCAGCTCTCATTGATTTTACTAGGGGTGTCTCCGCTCTCATAATTTTTACTAGAAGGCACTCAGCTCTCATGGATTTTACTAGAAGGCACTTGGCTCTCATGGATTTTACTAGAAGAGACTCAGCTCTCATTGATTTTACTAGAAGGGTCTCCGCTCTCATACTTTTTCCTAGAAGGGACTCAGCTCTCATGGATCTTACTAGAAGGCACTTAACTTTCATGGATTTTACTAGAAGGGACTGACTTTCATTGATTTTACTTGAAGGGACTCAGCTCTCATGGATTTTAGTACAAAGGACTTGACTTTCATGGATTTTACTAGAAGGGTCTCAGCTCTCATTGATTTTACTAGAAGGGACTCGGCTCTCATTGATTTTACTAGAAAGGACTCAGCTCTCATGGATTTTACTAGAAGGGTCTCCGCTCTCATAATTTTTACTAGAAGGGACTCAGCTCTCATGGATTTTACTAGAAGGCACTTGGCTCTCATTGATTTTACTAGAAAGGTCTCAGCTCTCATGGATTTTACTTGAAGGGACTCAGCTCTGATGGATTTTACTAGAAGGGACTTGGCTCTCATGGATTTTACTAGAAGGGTCTCAGCTCTCATTGATTTTACTAGAAGGGACACAGCTCTCATTGATTTAACTTGAAGGGACTCAGCTCTCATGGATTTTACTAGAAGGGTCTCAGCTCTTATTGATTTAACTTGAAGGGTCTCAGCTCTCATGGATTTTACTTGAAGGGACTCAGCTCTCATGGATTTTACTTGAAGGGACTCAGCTCTCATGGATTTAAGTAGAAGGGACTTGACTTTCATGGATTTTACTAGACAGGACTCAGCTCTCATGGATTTTACTTAAAAAGAACTCTTTCAGCACTTAAATCCCCTCAAGGTCAAATATCACTGTGTAGATCCACATTTACTTCCTGTGATCGCAAAAGATTATACAAGATGAACCACATCACCTTGCAATACATGATACAGTGATTTCATTTCTACACTGAGAATATAATTTCTTGACTACGATTCTGATATAATAAGCCAATTACAAAACACATTAACTAGTACAGTACTTTTCATTTTTCAACATTCAAAAAGGCACAGTTCACTCCATTGTCGGACACCAACGGTTGATTAACATGTAATTGATAAATGTTAAGGGTATATACGTGGATATCCAATGATGGGTTCATTCAAGAATGCATTTATATGTTCAAAGCTATTTTGTAAATTTTAAATTGTAATTTCAGACAATAAAGTACTGTCTTAAATGTATCACAATATAAGATTTATACATGTGAAATAAATAAAACACAAGTGGAGTGAAGACAAGTCAAACATTTCTTTAATAATTTTATTGGAAATACATTTGCATATAATTATAATATATAATATCACATGTGTTTGTTGGTTATGATATAATTATTAACTATAACTTAAATATTGTCTTATCTTTGAGGGGCTATCTGTGTGCATGAAAGGTCCCCTAACAATTCTTGCAGAATATACTAGGAAAATATCTTAATTGTGATGCTTGCAAATCAAAATTTTACAGTCATACAATTTAATTATATTAGATGTACATAATATCAGTATATAGAAAATTCATTTAGTTATGACACGCTTATTATGATCAATTATTTTACATTACACACATTAGAATCATATAGTTAAAAAATATTTGTAACAATTCATTGCAATTTTAATTAAATTAGTAGATTTAATTAAGTAGATTAATCAAGGCTCTTAATAACCTTATACTGGACAAGGCATCAATTGCATAATTTTTTTTTACAATATACAGAAATTGGATATGTACCTCAAAACTGGTACCTGAAATACACCAAATTTGTGTAAAATGGTTTAAGGCACAATAAACTACCAATATCATATAATATAATTATTTATAATATTATTTTGCATTATTAAATGTACAAAAAAAAGAAAATTTGAAAAAAAAAAACACCTAATAAATAACAATTGTAACCTTATATTTCAAATTAAAGATCACCAAAACAACAATAACAATGGCAGCAGTCTGGTCTATTAGAAAATATCACAAATATGTTGCATGTAAAATTATCTTTAACAAATATATTGTAACACTATAGACATTAAAACAGAAGTCAGTTTTGCAAGGTCTCCGACTCATTTTTAGCCTTTACCAAATGAACTTGACCATCTTTTAATCTGGACAGAACCATTTATCAATTTTAGGGACAATTTCAAAATATGTATAAACTGAAAAGCAAACAGTGCAGACCATAATTTGATGACTTATCATGCTCATCTTGGTCTGCACTGGTTGCATGGGTAGAATTTGATGATGCAACCAGACTAAGAGTTTAACTTTAATGTATATTTTCCAGTTTTAATAATTTTATCTTCACCCCTAATTTAGTATCATGGAGTTGTCTATCCTTGAGTTTTGACTTGTCCATTTCTAGTGGTTCCAGGTTCAAAACAGTTAACCAGGTTTTATGGCAAGATTGCTTAAATGTGCAAGTTTGTCTAATTTCATTTGTGAAATTGTTATAGCTATTTATTTTAGCTTACATATAAAAAGATAAAAAAAGATAAGATTATTTATTTCTTTCAACTTATAAAATCTTTATTTGATTAATTACATGTATATTATAAAGATTGCATAGGTACAGAAGAAATCACACTTCTGAATTACCAGTCAGAAATACAGCCTAAATTTTTCAAGCATTTTCAAGTCAGTCACAAAGATATTTATATGTAGCATTGTACAAATTACATGAAAATGTTTGTTGTATTTTAAGATTACAAAACATAAATACAGATTTCTGATAGGTTATATGCCTCAGTATTAATATTTGTTTGGTTATACAACCTAGACAAGGGTTATATAACAAACAACTTTTTACTAACAGCCAGATATCCTTTCAAATGTCTAAATTCTTAACTTATTTATAATACTGCTGTCATTGATAATAAGAATAAAATTTTAATTATTTTTAAAGCACCCAATGTATTCAGATAATATATGCCTTAGAATCATCCAATGAAAATCAATGTTAGTATTATTTAAAAATAATGAATAAAAAGAATCTAAAATTTCATGGAGAAATAAAATTCAGCATTTATAAAACAGTTTCAAAATTTGTTAAAAAATGTCAAAATAGGTGCAAAATGTTTATGATATTATGTGGTAGAAAATCTTGTCTTTGTATAGAATAATCTAATCTAACAATGTGTTGTTAATGAAGGTACTTCCAGTATCTTTCCGGTAAATTCTCTAACAAACCTGAAAATAATAAAGGAAATTATACTTATATATTTCATAAACATGTTCTAAATAAGGAAGCATTAATGCTGGAGTGGTTAAGATGTCTTGCCTGTGCCGTTGATGTGCACAACTAGGGATGGTACTGATCCCTTCTGTAAAGTTTGGTTGAAATCCCACCAGTAGTTTGACTTGTGAAGGGCAGACAAGCTCAATGCAGACAGACTGATAGACGGTTGGACAGAGGGTGAAGGCAAAAACAAAAGTCTGCAAACAAATTTGGGAGACATAACTATATATACATATCATGAATATATGTATATCTAAAACATATAGTTGTTAAACATATATAACACATATAATTTTAAGAAATATATAAACAAGAATATATAAGATTATAATATCTGTCATATACCATATTGCCGTTGGATCAAAATATCCGTCCCTTGTATCGCAAACATATATCAGATATTTTTTCTTGCATATTCTACCAAAAATAAATTGTATTTTAAACTTTTAACCTTAATAGATCAATTTTCCATGGAAATTTAAGTCATAACACTCTTTAACTATTTTCTTTCAACAGGTGAAACTAACAGAAACATCAGTCTGATATGCAAGAAAAATACATCTTTGCATGAACATAAAAATAATCGCAGAAGAGCACCGCACATTATCATTGCAATGAAATATTCATAAGTAAGTGGTCCTAGATTCCTTAGTCATAAGAAAGTGGTCAAAGATTCTGTAGAAGTAAGCGGTCCAACATTCCGCAGAGATGAAGTTATAAATGTAGGCATTGTTAGTGGCCTACATCTAAGACACTGACATAAAAAAGATGATAAATTCTACAGATCAAAAATAAATGTGATCATAAACAAGAGCTGTCAGAAGGACAGCGCGCTCGACTTTTTTAGTGCTTGCCTATAAAACAAAACTTTGACAGTTAAGGGCACACAAGACTTTAACTAGGAATTTCTAAGTACAAATCAAGAAACATTTTCACAGAGTTATCTTCTCTTGCTTACAGATAGGTCTCATGATGGCACATAAGAACTCCAACTTCCAAAGTAATATCTCAAATGGTTAAGTCAACAAGTGGACAAGAATGAAAATCTTAACTGAGTTTCTAAGTCAAAAAGGGCCATAATTCAAATAAAATCCTTAACAGAATTACCTTCTCCTGCCCATGTTTTGGGACCATGATGGTAAACAAGTATTCCAACTTTCAAATTAATATCTCAAACAGTTCAGTCAAAAAGTGGACTGGTACTAAAAACTTAACCAAGATTCTAAGTCGATAAAAGGCCTTAATTTTTAAAACAAATCCTTGACAGAGTTACCTTCTCTTGCGTACAGATGGAGGTAATGATGTGAAATAGCATTAAAAGTTTCAAAGCAATATCTCAAAGGGTTAAGGCAATAAGTGGATTTTACCCATATTCAATGTATTTTCTAAGTCAAAAAGGGGCATAATTCTGTCAAAAACCTTGACAGAGTTATGTCCTCTTGTCTGTTGATGAAGGTCGTGATGGTAAACAAGTATGGTCAGTTTCAAAGCAATACCTCCAATGGTTTTGAAATAAAGTGAGGTGGTACAAAAAACTTAACCAAGCTCAATACACTTTCTAAGTCAAAAAAGGGCCATAATTCTGTCAAAAACCTTGACAGAGTTATGTACTCTTGTCTGTAGATGGAGGTTATGATGGTGAACAAGTATGGTAAGTTTCAAAGCCATACTTGTAATACTTCTGAAATAAAGTGGGGTGGTACGAAAAACTAAACCAAGGTGTGACGCCAACGCTAACGCTAACGCCGACGCCGACGCCGGGGCGAGTAGGATAGCTCCCCTTTTCATAGAAAAGTCGAGCTAAAAATTCCCCAAGCCTCTATCAATCCTAGAACATTATCAAGGTTCATCCCTCATAGAATATCTAATTATCTACTTGCCCACAAACAAATTAACACACACTATAACTTGGCTTACTTAAATTATTGACAAACTGATATTGGTACTTGTACATGGAAATTGTATCCAGTTTTTATGTATTGAATTATTCTGTTTGTTTCCAATTTAATGGTGACTAAGTTTCATGTAATTAATGTGTAGAGATTATTTTCAAATGAAATAGAACGGTGGGGAGGAATTTCAAGTAAATATAAACATAGGACAAATAGCTCTTGTATAAAACAGTTTCAATTTTGGCTGTTGAAAAGAATGGCACCATACAAAATTACCCCCTCACTGTCAAGTATCTATTCCAATGATCCGATTTTAGGATCTTTTCAGGCCTTTATCTAATAGTAGTAAATCAAAAAACCGCAATTTCATATAAATTAGTTGATTATAATGCTTAAACTGATTAATTTATATAATAGACTTGTCCAGTTATGAAAATGGAATAATCCATTTTAAAGTATTTAAGGGATTTCAGTATCAAATTACAAGAATTGAGCTGCAAACAATACAAATGTTTTACCTCATTTAAATGAATTTCTGTATGGCTTAAAACAGATAATAGTGGCGTATTCTTGGTTTTCAAAAGTTGGCCAAAGAACATTAACTCACCAAATTTTTTCATTCAGAAATACATTATTGGCACAGTCAACTTAATATACATAAGATTTCCAGGAAGATTTCAAGACCTATTTCCTATAAACTCTCATATTGACATGATCATTAATACCAAATAATCATGACTAAATGAAGAGATCAGTTGTTAAAAGCCATGTGTTTATTTGCTATAAAGTCAGTGGTTAAGAGTTTGAGTCCCATGTATGTCTCTTAACTCCAAAAAATTATAAAAAACATAGTTCCTTTTAATTTTGGTGGACATAACAATGTAACTAAAAATGTTACCTTTTTCTGTTAAAACTTGTTTGCTAAACAGCTTTGCGTAGTATCTCTGGAAAAAAAAGTGGAATAAAAATTTTATTACACAATTTACTTTTTAGAGCAATTAAAGCAGGCATTAAAAGATGTAATTTCAGCTTTACAGTTTTATAAAATAAGTTCGGTGAAAAAGGGTTGATGACTGATATTCATTGAACAAGAGTGTCAATATGTCACAAAATATGCCCATCATAAAAACTCAGTCTCATAAAAGTGAACATTTATGTTAAATTCCCACAATTTATTATGATCAGTACTCATATTTTTATTTTATCTGACCTTGGACCTTTTCATGTGATCTCCATCTTCAAGGGGGGCTAATGAAACTGATTTTACGTAACATGATGCCTCTCATTATGTTTAACATTTGTCCCAAGTTAAATATTAATCCATTTATGATGCAGAAGTTTAACTATGGATATTCATTTTCCTCTGAGATTCATACTGTGACCTTGACCTTTGACCTTAAGTCCTGCTTAATTTGTGTGATGCTATATCTCATAATGGTGAACATTTCTTTCAAGTAATACCAAGATCCCTCCATGCATGAAGAAGATATGCTCTTTCAATTATACCTGGTGACCTTGACCTTACATAATATTAATCTGAATTATCCTGAAAATACATTGTCTCATGATTGTGAACATTTCTGATATAATCCCTTGATTCATAAATACTAAAGTGTCCATACACACATTTTCATATTTCAATTTGACCTTTGACAGATAAGTGTGACCTTGACCTTTGTCGCAGAATCCTGAAATTTGCACACTACAAACAGCCTCAGCGTGGTGAACATTGTTACCATGCATGTAGAGGTTTTGCTCCAAACAAGCATTTTCCTTTAACTTTTAGGTGCAACATTTGCCTGCTGTTAATTGGCTGGAAATTCAAATTCACAGCAGGACAAAAAGGGTTGAAATTTATGTAATGCATCATACTGAAATGACCTTGTTTGATAGTGGAATGCCCATTATTTCAGTAATCCAGGAAATGGTGAGCAATAAAATCATACAACCATAGACTAGCAAGGTCACTTCTTCACAAGGAAGACTTCCTGGTCCCTTGAAGGAATATAACCCAAAACACTAACAGGTTCATATAAGTGATTCAATGTCTATTCAATTAGATGATGGAGGCTCCTAGTTACAAGGACTGTAGGTTTGACCATTTCACAATTGATATTGACCATAACTATTTAAACACAACACCTTTTGCAAACATTCAAAGCCTAAAACAGTAGAAAATTCTTCAACTTACAACACTACAGTGTACAATATCAAAGATATTTGACAATAAATGAAAACACTACAAATGAGGAAAAAAGTATATGTACTGACTGAAAAAAAAACAAGTGCAGCTTCACTTAAACTAAGAGAAATCAATTACCAAACCTAGACTTCCATTTAGAATTTCATAATATCCTAACAAGCCCCCCTATCCCCCCAAACAAGTGTTAATATAATTTTCGCATTCCAAGCAGGAGTGCTGCAAAAAAATTCTTTTACGTTTCAAAGTTGATTGGAAATTTTTTTTATATCGGTCAATTCAACTTTCCATTACTTGTTTACTTTAACCTTCACCTTAATCTTACAGGTACTTTAATGTATTTGTTGGGAAAGTTTTAATGTTTTAGAAGGTTGTAGGAAATTTTCTATGAAACATTCCAATTTAACCATGCCATGAGTTAACTATACCAAATTTTAAAAAAAAACTTATTGTGAAATAATATTATAGGAAATTTTGTTAATTTAGATCAATATTGAAATGTAAAATGAATCATCATATAAATGTGGATTGATTGTATAAAGTGAAATAATAAAGACAAAAGGAATAAATATAAGTGTTATGCTTGTTTTCCAATCCATAAAATTTTCAATAGTGTGATGTAAATTGATACATGTTTGTAAATTTGATAAATAAAATATGTTTTAACTAAATATTTTCACTCAAAATCCTATAAAATACAATCATAAAATCAAATACAGCTTCAGAACCCTTATCCCCCTTATTTTATATATTTCATTAGCCTAGCTTTGAAATTCAAATTCTAATTTTAAGAGATTTCAATTTACAAAATACAATCAAAGGATGAAGATGATTTAAGAATTATGAAAAATCAATCAGTAATATTTTTAGTTTGCACTCAAGCAACCATTTTCAGGGGAAAATAAGTCTGAATGAACTAAATTCAAAGCTTCTTGTTCCTTTAACCTGGGGTCCTGGTAACTAGGTAAAGCTGTAACGCTACTGTACTGATCAGGGGAGTTAACAGTTACAGACTATTTATATTCTTGAGGAACAAGGAATTTGTATGCATTTATAATGATTGTTGTAGTACCGGTAATGTCCCATAAACTCTTACAATTTTTTTTGGTATATTTCCATGAAACGGCATTCCTAAAAATGATAACTTAATACATGTATACAGTGTCACTATTCTAGGAAGGGGGATGAGGGGATTCACTCATATTGTTGAAAATTCCCCTCCCCCCTCCCCAAATTTTTTCAGAGGCTGGGGGAAAAATTTACAAAGAAAAAGAAGGAAAAAGATCAACAAGAGTAATAAAATCTCACTTTTCTATATAAATTCCCCGTTTTTCGAATCCTAGAAAAGACACTGTGTATATATATATAAATGTTTTATGTCCTCCCAATTCATTTGGAAGGGAGTGGTGGGGGATGTTTGCCCTTACAAAACATATGAGAAGACACTGTCCACCACAGCAAAATCAGGAGGCAAATGTTTGCAGGGACAATGTTCTAAATTTGAGCTCAATTATCCATCCAGTGAGAGATCATAGATTATTGTTTGCAGAGGTTCAAATTAATAATGTGATAAACTCCATTGTTGCAACTTTCTCACTTACTTCACAAGTAAGAAGCAACTTCTTCACAATGGTGTTAAGGGAGAATAAATAAGAAATTGATACTACGATGACAATTCACTATATTTATCAGCAGTTTACTTTGAAACTGCAAGTCGCCAAACTGTCATATAAATGTATGAAAATCATGAAGTAGGTAACCATAGAAACATGGAAATCAAAGAGGGTAATGTGAGGTTGAAAAGGGCTGCAGAAATAAAGTACATAGACATTTAAGTCACCTTGTTTTATCAAAGACCACAGAATTTTAAGCTCGCACAAATAAGTACTTATACAGCAGTATACATGTAAGTTCTGCATACATAGAAACTGGCTAAATGATGTTCATTTGTATTATTTCATAAACTAAAGACAATGTGTCTAGCCATACAGTGGGCACAATAATTGCATCTTAAAAAATATAATTATTATTCAATTTGTGATAGTGGAGAACATTCATATTCTATTTTTGACACCGAGGCCTTGCCTTGTCTCCTATTATAAATTTAACATTGAATGGTCACAAATATTTTAATTATTGGCAACCTTCAATAATCCCCAATACACTGTATCTTACTTCAATCAAAAGTGGTACATTGAGGTATTTTTATAATATGACTGATTGAAGGTATAACTGCCATGACATCATTTCATTTCAGCTACCGTAAAATTCCTAATAAATGCCCCTCCCCTAATAAAGGCCCCCCAGGCCTTTTGATAAGGAAAAGAATCTACTCATCTGTGCTGAACTCATAATTAAATACATAATATTATTCAAATCATTCAGAATCCATTTTATTTTATAGTAAACACAAATATGTTGATATGAACATTAAAACCGTAACACTTTTTAATGTTATTACCAACACTTGCTAACACAAAATGTATTTACAGTGATTTTTTGATTTAGGAAAAATGTATTGAAATAATAGGCCCCTTTTTGAAAATGTTTAGCCCCCGGGGGCGTTTTATAGGAATTTTATGGTATCTGAGGCTGTTCCAGCACACAGTCATTTTCTATATGAAATATTTATGTACACCAATTAATATTTGTTGAACCAATGGTCTCACATTGTCAGGTTGACATACCATAAATGAAACATAAAACTTTCTGTGGTGTATTTTTTCCATGATCAGTATGTGTTTGACATTACAGTACTACTACACTCAGGATGATTAATTTTGTAACATTCCTGACACACATATTTTGCTGTGGCAGAAGAAAATTATTCCAAGGCTTGGTATTTTTTCCGGGATTGGTGTTTTTTTCCAGGGCTTGGTATTTTTCCATAACTACATGTATTTGCCTGAAATCAATCTACCAAGTGTATATCAAAGTATGTATTGTTGACAGAACTGACCACTCTTTATCGCTAATTGAAGAGTCATCTATGAGAAAGTGGTAATATTGATTTTAATAACACTCCTAAATGAGTGTTAGACTAACTTAAAGCTAAATTAGTTTTAAACTAACTTAAAGCTACATGCCTCCAGATGAGTCAAAATATTTCAAGAAAATTAAACTTCAGCAGAATGTACTAAGATTTTAAGAAAAGTAAAAAGATTGCAGAATGAAGATTCTACTTATAATTTACATCTTATGTGCATTTAATGAATGATTTTGTACAGTCTATCACCATAAAGGGCTATTTTTGCATATTTTGACCTCTTTTTGGTAACGAATGTGGATTAAGCCGTCATTGTCATTTACAATGTGTAAAATACTTTCTTTTTCCAATTCACAATATTTCACTGTTTAATACATTTTCAAAATTTTCATAAAAATCAGCATGAATCTTAAGGCATTTTCCTTTAAATACCGTCACAAACTCATATCCATACAGTGGGACTAACTGACCATGCAAGCTCTATGCAACATCAAAATAACTAATCAATTTAAAAAATGGATACTGGTCACAAAGTCCGCTTTTGTAAACTTTTACAAAGAAATAAATATATAAGTATCATACCTGTCCAGTGTCACACAAACATGTTGCTATTGTATGTCCTGGACCCATCTGTTTGGCAAGCTGGTAGGCTGCGGAGATGTTCAAACCTGAAGATGCACCAACAAAAAATCCCTCTTCATCTAACAATCGGAATGTCTGAAAAGTCATAGACATTAAACCAATATTATGGTAATAAACAAAATGTGTGCCCAAAAAAGGTTAAAAGGGCATATTTCTTGAAGTTTGAAGATTTTAAGATGTAAAAAAGCTCTTCCCTGTGGATTATGTCAGAAAATGGAGGAAATCTATGTATATACATTGTATTATGATTATGATGAACTAAGTTATGCTGAAATTTCTTGAATTTTGAAACTTTGGCCTTCAAAATTTTAGGCATTATAATAATGCAGACACTTTTTAAAGGGACTCCACTGAGGAGTTGACACAAGGGGACTGGAAATAATTTTTTGAGATATAAGTTTCATTTGACGTTGATCTAGACCAATAACTTGTGTGCAAAATTTCAAAACTTTCACTCACTCCGTTGTTTTTTTCACAATAATTATTCTAATTGTGATTGGCCTTAAAAATTACCCAAATTGAAAAGAGGTTGCAACTCAAAAGATTAGCTCAAAATACAATTTTATTTTTATTTCTGAATATATTTCTTAATTATCTTCCTGCTTAATGTGCCCCAGCTGATCCATAAAGAAAATTCAAATTTCAAGTTTTTTAGGTCTTTGCATGGAACTTTGTAGAGTTCCTTTAATAAGCATGGTCAAAATATGATCTTGGCTTCAAAGACGCCAGCACTATTATACCATTTCTACAGCATCTTTATCCAGTATACACATTGCATCATCAACAGGTGCTCCTTTCATGTTCTCTGTGACACGACCTTGACCTATTCCCTCAGTTATTGAGCTACCATCTGTTCTTTCTAACTGACCATTCTTAAACCAATTATATAAGACACTTCCCTGGAAAAAAAAGTAAAGTCAATCAAGGTCTTATGTATTGCTTAATTTTTTTATATCTTTTTTGGTCGCAACAACATAATTGAGATCATATGGTGATTTTTCAGCTAAACAGGTGAAGGAAGATGTCAGGTGCCCCTCTGAACATTTTTTGAGACACCTGAGTAGCACCACCGATGTTTCGTAAGCTACCTTGATAGCTTCCTCTCATGAAAGAAACCAGGGTTCCTGATGGGATTCTAACCCACAACAACGAGGGGCAAGTTGTTTGAAGTCAATGTCTTTCACTACATGGACACCCCTTAAATTATTTGAGCCTCCAGTTAAAAATGCCTATAAGTTTATTCATATATGTATTACAACAAGTGACATACACAGGACAACTCGTAAGAAAATGTCAGTTTATATATGGAGGGTAGGTTAAGATTTATAGTGACATTATGCTTATTTTTTCATTGTGAAGATGTGCTGATTGGATTACATATTTCAAAAATAATCAACAATAAAGAAATACTTTCAATAATTGAATTTTTTAAAAGTGATAAGCAAAGTCTACCCAATTCTTGCTTGTCCCTTTAGTAAAACACAAACACAACTTTTACTATTAAAGGGAAGCTACTCAAGATAAACTAAAATACACAAGTAAATGCTTCAATTATATAAATTACAGATGTGCACAATTAATTTTCTCTGTTAAAGGTACAGATGGTTGCTTTAACATTATATGAGATGGGTCACAACAAAACCAACGTAATGCGTTTGCAACCAGCATGGATCCAGACCAGCCTGCGCATCCGTGCAGTCTTATCAGGATCCATGCTGTTCGCTTACAAACCCTATAAAAAGTAGAGAAACTGATAGCGAACAGCATGGATCCTGATCAGACTGCGCGGATGAGCAGGCTGGTCTGGATCCATGCTGGTCGCAAATCCAAAATATCTTATTATCAATTACTGGTCAATCACCATTATCATTGTCAATCTCTTGAAGATAATAATTCAACTCAACTTGACAGAAAAAAATATGAGCATAATGTCACTTTAATTGAAAACTAATGTCACTTTAATTGAAAACTATGCTGAAAAGTTCTGACCTAACATTCCCTCAATTAATGTATAATAATTTCAAAACTTTATCATTATTATAAACATCTTTAAAATCATACCTGGGGATCTGCACAAACAACTTGTATTTTGGGGTTCTTGTCTTTTAGGTAGATACCTGTCCCTGTAAAAAGTAACATATACATTACTTGAATTGCATCACACAAACACTGTAAAGCAAATTTCCAGCTATTAAGTCCATTAAGGTGAGAAACTTTTAACCCTTGCCAAGCAAAAAATATCTTAAATGGACATTTTCATCTTTCAATCTGGACAGGACCATTTATTGTTTATAGGGAAAATTTCAAAATTAATATTGACTGATTTGCAAACACCATTATCAGATAGTACAGATGATACAAAGTGAAGTTTTATGTGTCACATCATGTACTTACCGGATTCAGATGTTAAAACACAACAAGACATCAAAATTAAAATTCTGACATAGAATTTAAATAAAAATAACCAAACTCTTTAAATACTATTTAGTTACAGCAATACTGTAATGGTCACATAGCAACTTTCCAATTTTACAGATGGAGGAAGATATCAGGTGCCTGTCTTTGCATTATTTAGGGCTGAAGAAAAACCACTGACTGTCAAGCTGGACAACATCCTGACAAGAAAATATCCTACGTATACCTGAATTCATATCCTGATTTGTATTCTAAATGGCGAGGGGATAATTTTCAAAGGTCTGTAACCTTAACAGTAAGGTTGTTAGGGGCCCTAATATTTTGTTTGTTTCGTAAGATTTTAAGTCACAACAACAGTTTAGGTCATGAAGTGGCTGGAGGAAGAACTCGGATGCCACTTTTTGCATTATTTCAAGAGCAAGTATGCACTTCAGTATAACCACTAACCTTATGTAAGCTAGTTGGATCGATTCCTCAAATGAAAGAACATGATGGGATTTAAACCCACCATAGTAAGGGGCAAGTGATTTCCACTTTGCCACAAAGTCACTGGATCCCTACACAAATATTTGTTAGAGTGACAAAATTCTCAAATTATAGATCCTATTTTTATAAATCTAAATACTTACTACATGTATTTTACTATTAAGTAATCCTATTTTTATAAATCTAAATACTTACTACATGTAATTTACTATTAAGTAAATATAAAAATCAAAATTACCTGCAAGTGTTCCCCCTGTCCCAGTTCCAAAGACTACTGCATTAACTTTACCATCTACAATGTAAGATAAAATATTAATTCTTCTTTACTAACTTTATGTCATCCACTAAGCATAATTAATAGTTTATCTTCTATGAAATCATTGTTTTAAATAATATTTATCTCGTAATAAACATATTCATATATTTTAAACATGGTTTAACAAGTTTGGAAATTGTTTGCCTATTTGAATGTAACCAATAACAATATGGATAATATATATATATAAACACAATGTACTGTTAATTCTCTTCTGAAAAACACAAGTTTGTATTTAGAAGAAATGATGTTTCCGACACACTAATAAACAATTATGTAGATGTATCTATAATTCAACTGATGTAAGCTGGAAAACTCTCAACCTTGGTTGGCTACTGAACAATTTTGCAAAGGCCCTCAAAGTTTGAGCGACAAATGTGATTTCAGTTGAATTTTATGTGTATTTCCCCCTGTCATAATAAATTCAAAATTTCTGTATACAAACAAACATTTAAAGTACACGACTTGAAGTCAGAGCAATGGTAAAACAAATTCCTGGCCAAATAAATTGTGAAATTCAATGGTGAGCGGTAATAATAAATTGTGTATACTACTAGTAGGGAACCAGGCTAGCCTGCATATAATTGTCTGGCCGGGCTCTAAACTGATGGCTGATTAACCATAGCATTCTGATACTGGTTACCAACAAATTGAGAATATAAATGAACAATTCAACGTTCAAACCAGAGCATATTAAATTCAATAATTTAGCTCATTAAAGTTAAAATGCAGTTCTTTAACGCCATAACATCAACAGACTGTATAAAAAATATTGTATTAAATGACAACAATAATATAGACATGATTGTATTTTTAATTTCTGCTAGTAAATGCCTATTTAAACGCATAAATCATTTAAACTTGCTGTACAGTTTGAACGGCTGATGTCTGCACATTAATTCACTGAAATAGAAGAGCAGTACAATGTATACATACAGTGATACACAGACAGAAAAATTAGAAAACAAAACTATGTAATATACTTGTTTCTTGCCATATTTCTGGTCCTGTTGTTTCAATATGTGCCCTTCTGTTAGCTGTGTTATCAAACTGATTGGTCCAAACAGCATTCTCTAAAGTATCTGCATACCTTTTTGCCTATTTAATACACAGGAAAAATAAAAATAAGATAAACATTTTTGGCTATCATATCCTGCAGGAACTGTATATAGCTTAGTCTGAAAATGATCTTAACTCTGGTTTACTAATTTGGCTTTTCTTGGCTTTTCATTGAAAAATAAGGAGCTATTATATGATTATTTAAATAAACTTTTTTTTACAACTTAAAGGCATACTCCCATCAGATTCTGGATTATTTTTCTATTCAAAATGCATGCAGTATAGCAATATAGTCAGTATGTTGATGCTTACAAACAAAACTTGCAACAAAGAGTTTATAAACAATTCTACATGACCATATCTAGATATGCCAGTGTATATCTCTTTAATTTTGAGGAGATAATTATCTCACCTGGTGATTATAGTTCATCTCGTCAGTGAATGGTTTTACAGGACAAGGTCTGACGTCTGCTCCTAAAGTCTTTAACATATCAATCTTCTCCTGCAAAAAATATATAATATATAATATAATATAATATATAATTATTGTTATGGTCAATTGCACACCTACATCCATAATAAGTGCAACCTCTGACAACAGTTTACTGCATCAAGGAACTTGATTCTTTGGCTCAGTGGTCTAGAGCATATAAGATCAAAAAGTCTAAACACGTATGATTTGAAATTCTTTCATAGATCCATTGTCGCATACCCACGGTTGATTAACATGTAACATAACATGATAAATGTTAATGGTTTGGCCGTGGGTATCTGACGATGGTGAAGTACTTAAATGAAGAACCTGCAAAAAATAATTAAGAAATATGTGCAGAATTAAATTGAAAATCAACTTCTTTTTGTGTGATTCTTACCCCGATTCCAGGGAAAAAGCAACACTTTTCATTTCTGGGTAATTCTGCACAAAGAAATTATTACCCTGGAAAAACAGAGAGAAGGAATTATCTGAAAAGTTTCACACAAGTTTTTGGTCCAGTCCTACATCAAATACATGTAGTATATAAATCTCAGAAAATTATTTCCAGTCCTGTCAAGTCAAACTAGAAATGTGTCCATAGGCCACGGATGCCGCCACACTCCACATGCTGACTAACATTTCTAAATAATTTTTAATAAGTTAAGAGCAATAAGTTATTATAACTCTGACAAAACTTAATTAATCCACAAACAAAAACCACAGATGCACAACTTAGCATGATGATCAACATTCCTGAAAAGTTTATTACTAATTTAACTTGCAAAGGGAAACAACTATGAAATTTTCACAATACAAATACAGCAAGGATTCTCTTTCATTGAGATTAAATTACTTATATATTTGCAAAGCATAGAGGCTGTTCATATGTATTCAATAAATTGACATTAGGAATGAGGTAATGAAACACTGTTAAAGGAACTCAACTGAGGTCCAAAAGTCTATATAAATTAAGTTTGAATTTATTACATAAATCATTACATAAATCAACTGGGGCACTTAAAAGAGACAATTATGCAAAAGAAAATTAAAGAAAAAATACTCAGAAATCAATCAAAAATTTTATTATGTTATTATGAAAATCTATATTCCCTAGTATATTGTCCATCAACAACTATATAACAAACTTATAAAACTGCAAACTGTTTTTTCTTTACTTTCTACAACAAATATACAAGTTACCTTAGACTGGTTATCAGGCATATAGATGACACACTTGTACCCCATTGCCAGACACATGTGTGCCAGTCCGATACCAGTGTTACCAGCAGTGCCTTCAACCACTGTTCCCCCTGGACCTAACTGTCCTTTTAACAATAATAAGCAGGTGAAAACATGAAAGTATAAAACCATCAGAGAAAACAGAATTTATTTCTTCTATTAGCTTAAATTTTATGGAGTGGAAACTCCCGGTTAACCATTATACAAACGCTTAAATATCATGTTGTGCACCCTATAACGGTACTTTGATCGATAACTCACCGGAGCTTAGCATTAAATGTCTGTGTAAAATGTACGTAATTAAAGCCGTGATTTCTTGTTTCCTTTCAGTTATAGATATTCCCTTTCCTAATGAAAACTAAAATACTTTTTTGTTTGGGCATCATTCAGGTAGCTGTTGGAGGTCATTCTTTTTTGTGTGAATTTGTTTCTCCGCTCTCTCATAAAAATAGTTTATATTAGGCATTTTTAACAAGTTTTGTTTTGTTGTTGGTTTTTCTTTGTTAGTGAATAGGAAATAAACTGTATATTTCACATCAAAGTAAGAAAATATCAACATTTTTACTTGTGCTACATGATCTTGAAAATTTTAATTTTCACACTTCCCGGTGAAATGTATGTCATACTAATTTAAAACAAAGTAATATCATTAATCCTCTATGTATTCAAATATACCAACCTTTTTCCAGAGCATCTTTAATAAGAAAGTAAGCAGCCCTGTCCTTTACTGATCCACCTCCATTACAAAACTCAGCTTTTGCTAAAATTTCACAACCTGTAATTTTAGTTAAAAATATTATTGATTTCTCCCTCACAAAAACTGTATCTATCTACAATGTATATTATGTAAATTTTTACCTGCCAGATGAAAATAATTAAAATAGTATCATAAATATGTTTAGAAAATCCAAGAACATATTAATCTATCATTGAATGATCCAATCAATTGTATATTATCCATACCTGTTTCATCACTGATTTTGTTGATTCTTACTAAAGGTGTCCTGAAAAAAAAATTACAACAAATTTAAAACATGACAGGTGACAAATAAAAGCAGCAGTACTTTTGAATCATTATTTAATGCTGCATGTTTGTAATATCAATTTTCATTGGACAATACCTGTAGTAATTTTTATATTATACTCTGCATTAAAATGAATAAAATTGATATTTTTCATCAAAGAAATAAATAAATATTCAATCAATATTGCATATCAAAGACTTTTTAACAGGTTATATGGTTGTGTATAAATGGTTATATAACAGATAATGTTGTGTATAAATGGTTATATAACAGATAATGTCTTGTAAGCTAACAACCATTTATACTGGGCAATATAACCTGTCAAAAATCTTTTTATAATTTAACCAAAAATAATGTCCCATACCAGGCTACATGTAAATACAGCGTATCTTATGTCATAATGTGGACTTGTCTATCTGTCTATATGAACAAAACCATTAATCAGTTTTATGGAAAATTTCAAATTATATGTACTGACTTAAAAGCAAACATTGCAGACCATGATGAGACAGCATGAATTATGCCAGCTTATCTTGGTCTACACTACTGGGCAGTGGCATAGATAGATACAGTCACCCCCTGCAGCCTATGGTATATATGAGCCACGCCATAAAAAAACCAACGTGATGTGTTTGCGACAAGCATGGATCAAGACCAGGATCGATGCTGTTCGCTATCAGTTTCTCTACTTGTTATAGGGTTTGTAAGCAAACAGCATGGATCCTGATCAGACTGCTAGGATGCGCAGGCTGGTCTGGATCCATGCTGGTCGCAAACGCATAATGTTGGTTTTTTCATGGCGCGGCTCATATAAGTTTTTGCCACTTGTAATCTTATCTCCACATATGAGCTTCTAATTTATTATTTTCTGTTAAATGTCTGATGCTGAGGCTACTGTATCTTGTTTATAGCTCATATTTCTAATTAACGAGGAAATGTTATAACAGTAACAAAATATTATATGACAGAAAACTATTTTCTGAACATTATTTTACTGTTTATTTTTGCTGTGTCTGTATAAGTCTTCGTTGGCCAATAAAATGAGAACTGCACTACAAATCTTACTGCTGTCTCATTTTGCAAAACCAACATCAATGAGATAAAATGCTTTGCTGCTTGCTACTCTCAAATTTTTACTAGATGGATAGATCCATCATCCCTACTCTGATCTTTCATTTGGATAACAATTGATTTAACAACAAACAAAGACATGTGCTCTTTTGTTAACAAATATTTTGCGGTGAAATTCTTATTGTATCCACCAATCTGATAATTAGAAAAAGACAGGTCAGGGATCTATGCATCAATACTTGAAAATTTAAGGACAGCCCATACTAAGGCTTAAACAATCATATTGGCTAGAAGGCTTCTTTGTGTAACAAAATGCAATATGCTTGAATTACCTGCCCACCATTCCCACAATGCCTCGTCTGATAGCATCCTGAAAAGTTCAAAATATTGCTGCAACAGTCAAAATTAATATCTACAAGTATGCAAATTTTTATCCATATCATTGAAAATAAAAACATGGAGCTCATTCAAATTTTAGGATGAATGTACAGTCATGAAAATGTTATACATATGATAAATATATGAAAAGTTGAAATATTATATTATATATAATATAACAGATCACACTCTGTAAGTTGAAGGTGATAATGACATTTTAATAGCCTATAATCACACATGTCTGATTATCTGTACTTTTGTGCTTGCTGTTCAGATCAAATTAGTGAGAATGCTACCTATTCATTTTAAGCATTTTGATATTGAATCAACAGACGATAAACACAGACAGTTTCAAATTTAAAAACAGGACATGCATTTCACACTGTTACATATCTTGGCAATATTAACCCTTGAAGCAAGCCTGTAGGGATTCAGCTCACTAACCAAATATTTTTATTAATAACACTCCCCACTGCTACCTGTACCCCAAAATATATAATATTATAAACAATCATTCCTGCTGTATGGCAGACACTACGACTTATATATCTAAATGGTGGTGCAGACCAGTGCATAGGCACTTAATTGGTTTCGTGGTAAATTTTGATTTGATTGAATGTTAACATTTTTTAACGTAGTAACTGTCTTGATTCTTAAACTGTCATTTTTCCGATTTGACTAAAAAAAACATTACTTACATCAGAAAATGTCGGTTTAAGAATAATCAAGAAATCTTCGTTAAAAAAACTTAACATTCAATTAAATTTTCAAGAGTTCTACAAACCTCTCAAATGGGATTTATCCCGAAACCAAGTGCTTAAGTAGTCCTTTAAATACAGGCCCGTCGTCACGATTTTGTGATTGGTGCGGCCAATTTGAGTGGTTTTAGGTAGAATCTAGGGGGGTACGGGGGCATGCTCCCCCAGAAAAATTTTTATTCTAGGATGCTCTCAGGGGCGTTTTCCCGTATATTTGGCACAGTTTACAGCCTGCCGCTAGTACATGTTATAGTAATATGTCAACAATTTTTCACAGATTTAAGTGCGTCGTAAGTTTTAAGGGTGAAATTTAAGGTTCGCATGACGGACGGACAGATGTACATAAAAAATGAATACATGTAATTGATGTTTGGCAAATGAAAAATTAAAAATAACTGATGTTATTTTAATTCTTTGGATGCATTTTTATCTGATGATTATAAATAAACAAATAAAAGAAATATTACAGTACGTGGATTATTGTTTAGCATAAATCACACAATGGTATAAGCTTAAATAACAATCAATGACATGATGGAAGTAATTAGTACATTACGAGTCAACAATAACCACTTTTTGTTTAGCAGTAACTTGTATTTTGTTAACAATAATCTTACACAATACAGAGTCTCATTTTATGTAAATTTTCCAAAAACACATTGCCGTCTTTCTCTGGTAGTAATGGACTCATCGGCAATTACACGTAAGTTGAGTGACTATGTCCTGTACTTATGAATATGTAACACCATTAGATTGTTCAAGCGTAATTGAGACATTTTCGATCTTAGGTATGTCTTAATCCTTCTGAACGCCGAGAATGACCTTTCACTGGTAGCATTAGTAGCAGACATTACTAACAAAATCTTTAACAACACAACGCAAATTTCAAAATGTCAGGTAGAGTAACAGTACTATTTTCTGATTTGTCAAAATGTGAACGTAGCAGCTGAAGCTGCACATCTAAGATGTCTCGGTTAATAATGTTTACAACAGGAATCACAAACGAAAATACAAAGTTTCTCCTAGTAGAACTGGTCTACCGCGTGTATATGAGTTAAATTCTCCTACGTTTTCTAAAAGTAACATGGCGTATTATCCCTGTTTGGGTCAGTAACTTCTCTTTGAACACTGGCGATTGGCAAGATTCGATTGGCTTCAAAGTATCTTAAGCCTAGGGTTACATGTTCGGAGCTATGCCAACACCGTGCCACCGCTACGTACGAATCTTCGTTGTGCCTATTTCAAGTCTCTATAGTCATAGTCTAAGTTCCATAAGTAAATTTCTATTATTTATATAAGTACGGATACATCAACAATTAAACCATCTAAACCTTTCTCTTAGCGCGCAAACATTATGGATCGTTTAACACATTCGACGAGATCACGTCTAACACTTTGAGAGTTTTATAAGTACACAATAAGAATTCAAGAATGTTGTCATTCGATATTACGTATCAATGCAACAGAGCAGTCGAGCTTTGCTAGCGCGGACAGGCCATCGGATGACTGACAATTAAGAGCCAGGAGGAGATTGTGCTGTATGTAGCTCTGTCTAATGCATAGGATGATAGTGCGAAGCAATTTACCACCGATACAAGATAATCATAACTTGACTGTAATAGTACCACAGGTCAATTGTGTTCAGTAATGCTTTCCTATCTCGCGGTCAATGTTTGCGTTATATTGACCGCGCAGCCATATGTTAAGTTGTCAAAATTATAGCTACGTTTCAGCGGTGTCGTATTTTTTATTTAGGGTTTTCTTTTTATTACTCAATTTTTGCCAAAAATCATTGTCCGGCCAAGGGCCGACCATCGACGACCGGCCCGTTGAAATATGACGTCTGCCTCGATATGAGTATTTTGCTTTCGCTGCAAGCCATGTTTAGTCGAAGCTTGACCAGACATAACAACGTACATAACAAGCCTCTAGAGTAACTAACTGATAATATGGACTATGTCTAAGCAGTAATCTGCCACCCACCAAAATATTAGCGTACAAGAATAAAACAAAGTGCAGTAGAATCTATGACGAATCTGCGGCTTATAACATGTAAGTTATATCACTATGTCCTAGGATTATAGAATAGTAATACCAGTATGATTAATCATAACATTAAAAAATTTCTTGTACCTATAGTATCTATTAATGAACAGATATTAGGGTGCGCAATTATAACTCTTTTATCAGTTTTATTATAGTGAGTCCTAACAAGAAGTGACAGATCCTGAGAGGGAGAAAGGGGTTATTCAGTTTTAATAGAATGTGGGGACTTACTCTAGCATTTTGTTTTTAAATAAAATGCAGTGTGAGATCTATTCATAAATACGTAGTTTCGGACTTTGTTCCTCAGTATTTCAATATGTATTTAACTCAATTAATGAGTACCAGTTCGTTACATATTAAGCAAAGAAAGAATGCTCTCAGTATGGAGAGCAATGAGATTTATATTTCGTTACGAGTCTGTCCTAATCTTCGTGACTTTGAGAAAAACACTTATGTATCTATACCTCGATCCTATGTAAAAATCGTGACATGGACAGTTTACAAGATGTTCAAGGTTTTTTTCTTATTAATACTTCAAAGATGACACAATGAAATTTTGCGTGAAAGAAAACCAGTATAGCAAGTAAAGAACTGCCATTATTGAATACAATAGAAGCACAACTGTTTCATTTTACTTCCAGCGATTGCGTTGGTTTATTGCAAATTGTACGGGGATTTCCCGTGCTACAGCTTATATGCATTTAAGGAATATCCTACAAAAGGTCAAGTGACAAGTATTATCTCTATTTTCTGTTAAAGTGAACAACTGTACTCCGTAATACATAATACGGCAATTTAAACCATTAACAATTATGTGTATAATTTATGAAACATATAATCTTTGTATAATCATTCTATAGCTCATAATTAATACATAAATGCAGTTGCAATATTATTTTTCGGCCCATTAAATTGATACTTCTGTAAATCTTTCTCGCATAAATGTAGTTTGTTTCCCCGTTTCACCATTTTAAAAAGTAGACATTTATATTCTATCCCAGCGTGTCGGAATGTGGTGAGCGAGGGTAACAAATAGTACAACACATGTATTCGTAGTAGATACTGAACACACTGATATTTGTTAACCAATGCGTGTTCCGATTTGTATCCAGTGATATTAATTAACTAATGCTAAGAGCACACACCGTATAATAAATAACAATTCAAATAACCGAAAATTTCAAATAGTCGGTGTAAATGCGACAGCCTTGGTGCATAGCTGACCAGAATAGTCACTGTTAATGTCCCAAATTAGTTGCGAGATACACATTTTTATCATATATAAACAATTACATCCACAATACTATACACTATTACATTTTTAACCATTATCAAGACTTTTGTGCTACCAAATATAGCATATACAGATAGCAGTGTGCAAAGCTTAATATATCTAGCTTAATAGTACAATAGTACAACCATGCGTGGCATTATTTAATTACAGCGAAACTTGAATATTAGTACACGAAATAAATACTGAGACCTCTAGGGTATATCTTCGTATTTTAATTTTGCTGAACTTGGCGATCAAATAAAGGTACCTGCTAAAAATTGGACGAATAATTACTTAGCAAAAACTATAATTAAAAATTAGATTTGTCTATCACCACTATTTTGTGGCCATTATAACTTTTTACCCCGTCACCAGGTCGCCTGTAAAAGCGTGTCTAAATAGCATTAGAACGCATAATCATTACATTAATAAAGAGTAGAATTAGGTGACCTCTCAAGAAAATGCTCTTGCACCAGCGTACTTTGTCTTCAATCTTGACTAACGATAAGTTTACAGTTCAAATATACCTTACTACACAATGTCTACGTTCAAATTAATTGTTTCTTGAAATATTATGACGGCACGATTCGTAATCACGTGAATTAATAGTTTTAATGTTTTTATACTGTTATGAGATAGAACATGTAAGTTGTGACCTTATAAGTTCAAATTTATACGAGCTTGTTATAGTCTCATATGTGAAAATGTTTAAAAGATATGATTATGTAAATAGAAGATATTAAAACTCATTTATTTACCAACATTAAACCATTCAGTTTTTATACCATAAATCACCAAAAGTCGTGATACAAGTTATAGTAATTATATCTAGCAAAGTGTTGGTATCTTAAATTGTGATGTAACAATCATCAAGTTTCAACATTAAGATAGATTCATTATAGTCATTAGCTCGCCCATTATTGTGCAAAGATCGAGAATCTAGGAATTATATAGCATGGAACTGAGGCATAATTATATAGTTAGTCTGTTCAAACTCCGAAGCATTGTTTACAGTGCAATTTCTGTATCACTATTATAAATAGAAGGTTACGTAAAAAAACATTCCATTCTAAAGCTGGCACATTCTTTTCCACGTTATCGTGATACATGTGAGTTATATTATGAAGATCTACAAGCAAAATATAATACAACAAAATAATCATTTGTTGAAGAGAAGAGACACCCTTAGGTTGAATGAAACTCAATCAACAATATACTAAGTTACGGACTGCCACAGAAAAATCACATTCACTATTAGCAGCAGAGTGTCCATTTTGATATAAATGTCAGATATTTAGACTAGAGAAGCTCGGCGTTGTTTTTCGTCGCTAACACGATCACTGGCACAGAAGAGATGTTTCAAACTCAGCCTCGTGCAAAATGTGGAACAAGTAACAATATGTAACGTCATGTACATGTACCCATGCGCGATAAAAGCCAAGCATATATGTTATCAATTTTGTTGTTCAATTTACAACTTCTTTGTCTTGCTGGTTTTTTCAGAAGCGGTGAACCTTCCATTTTATTAACATCAATTTATAATCTAAAGTAACAAACAATTATTTAAACTCCGTATGTAAACACATTACAAATATCACTATGAGATGTACAGAAGCATATATATTAAAAGATTCTTATTCCGCACCATGCCAGCGTCTTTTGCACTCATAAGGTTAACATACCTGTCGTCAGCGCCTCTATATGTTAGGGACCTAACCATGTTGTGTCTAGGCTAACATCTCAAAATCATTTCGAAGACCGACAGCTAAACTGAAACTAAGGTTCAGCGGACGCAACACATCTGGGTCCAAACTATAGTAAACACAAATAATTTGCAACTCTGAATCTTTTAAATAAAGCTAGCACCGAACAATTCTTTTACACAGACAAGTGAGGTTTGTATGTTAACACATTTGTGTGTGAATTTTTGAACTATAATCGATTCAACTGCTAGTTTAAGGTAGAAATAGCTTCAACGAAAACCACACGTTTTTCTATGCTTTACCAGCGATCCATATTCATCAGTGGTACTCTAAGATATATGACGTCTTTTATACAAATGCCGTCATCTAATACGAAGAATTTTATAAACATATACAAAACTACACTTTTTGGACATTTTATACAAGATATTTATCATTATACTCTGGATTGACAGATAAAAAATATTACAACTAATTAGTTATCTGTAATGCGATGAAACTTCACTAATAACTATTTACCAGGTTAAGTGATGCTGTTATAGCATAAAGGCCCCAATGCCAGACCCAGAAAAATATTTGTCACAATACACAAATCTCTATGTACTTTTTTCTAGCGTTTACTGTTACTCTCTAAAATCAGATTTACGCATAACAACATATCACAGTAACCAGAGTGTTGAGATGCGCTGAAAACGGCATAAAACGAAACCAACAGTGTGCCCAATATAATAAAACATTTGTGTCAAGGATTTCTTAAATAGTGTTGTAAACATACATATCTGCTTATCCTTCCTAAGTGATAATACGTGCTAGTGAGATATTCCTGATATCTGCTTACGCAGCGTTGTTCAGTGCCAATGTCTTCATGTCCACTCATTTTTATCATTCGCATGATACCAAGCAGTGCCAACCACTTCAACTGTCACTATCCTCCTAGGTTTCTGGTTTCCAAATTTCGGCACATTGAAATATCACTATGTTATTTATAATGTGATACGTTTGCTACCAAGGTTTCGATATTCTTTATAATTTACAGCGAGTTTCTCCTAATGGGTATCATTTTCCTTGGAGACAAGCATTTATAAGCCTCCATGTTTGATCGAAAGGAAATTCGTTTTATATAGAGGAAAAAAATGCTTCGTCATCACCATCTCTTTGACCAGAATTTTGATTACATAGTATTCTCCGCTCAACATTAACATATATTATACAACACATCTACTTTAGCTTTATACATGCACTGACAGTTATGTAGTAAGCGATTAATAGATGGTATATTAGTAGCAAAGTGTTCAGAAAAGTCAGGTACAGAGGAGCGGACGGAATTCGTGGGACGACTATGTTCCTTCCACCTGGTTTGTTGATCCATTACAAAGGATTCTAAATATGTCACTTTTCAATATTCAGAATTTAGTAGAAAAGTTGGAAGAAAGTATAAATAATAGCTGTGTAAATTTAAAGTCATTTTTTGTAAAGGAAAATACTACCATTAAAAGTCATACAGTAAATCTAGAAGACAAGTGTGCTGTTAGACATCTGCCAAAACGTTAATGACTTTTTTTTATACATATTGTACATGAGTAACCCTCTCAACATATTTGAATGGTACTACTATTGCTTACATGTTTATTGCAAATCATAATCCTTTCTGAATTTGAACATCAAAATTTTAACGTGTTAAAACTTTTTCAAACAAAACATTTGCGAATTCAGTCTCTTTTTATCCTTCAAAATTTGAACTATCGTTTCAGGTAAAGGTCCATTTCCATGTGTAATTGATATGTTTGGTGTAGTCGGCTCTTGTGTAGAATTTAGAGCAGCTTTATTGGCATCTAGAGGATTCGCTGCTATTGCTCTACCATACTTCTTACACGACGATCTTCCAGTTGATTTAAGGGAATTGGAATTGGAATATTTTATGGTTAGTACATGTATGTTTTTCAGTTCTTCAGTTTATCCCTGTAAGGCATATTATTCTATGAACGATATCTGAGAACCTTGGAAAATTGGTCATGAGTAGACAGTTTTAAAAATATTTAAATTGCCACTATATATTTATCAATATTTCGACCGTTACTTAGGATGACTACTAAATTAGGAAGTCTTGGACTTTTAAGTGTAAATAAACATAAAGATCACATACTTATTACAAGCCGGAATCATCATTGCAATCTCACCGTGGGTAAGCAACTTTGGTCATGTGACCACAAAAGTCAACGTACACGGCCAAAATAGCTCGGCTGAGGTAAGTTTTTTAGTGATTATTTTTCGTCATACCGATTTATAATTTAATTCTAATAGTCTACCGACGCGGCAGTGTTTCGATGCTTTCCTATAAAATATATTTATTTTCGTCTAACGTGATTGTATTTTTTGTAGAATACATTCAATATCATTATTGCAAATTGTCGATGACAACGTACACACTATGTGTAAAAGTGTTTGATTAAAACTTAATAAACGATACGAAATTTAATATGTCAGTTTAAGTAAAATTTCCAGGTCTTAAAATATATAAGAGAATGTTTAAATTGAAAAAAGAACTGGTTCCTGCTGTCATTTTTGTATTTATTTTAAAAAATTGACCAACTTACAGAAATGTCAAACGTACACATACTTGTCTAGAAAGTGTCAACGTACACACTCACAACTTTAGTTTGATAGTGGTCTGAACATGAGCTGCAACTTCGAGTAGGTGCTTTTTCTTACAAGAAGTTGACTTTCAATTTAGATTGCCCTCTCAAAATGTATATACATTGTAATTACTATTTTTTTACAAAGAAAAAATTTAGAATGCATTCATTTCGTCGCATAAGCTTAAACAACCTTAAATATTTTTAAATGTTTTGTTTTTTAGATAGTGACCAAATTCCAGTTACTCAAACTGCTCATGATTAGTCTGAAAACAGTCGTTTATATTTATTACTGTATTAATATAGATCGTATTACAATATAGTCGTAATTACAGTGTTTTAATAACGTAACAGCAGGATTAAGGGTTTTTCTCTTGCTTCAACCAACTAGTGCCTCCGTAGCTAGTCAAAAGGGTTTCCAGTTTTGATCGATGTACGCTCAGTTTTAAAATTTATTTTATCGTGTTTTCCAGCAGTTTGCGGTCATCTTTTTTTGATCTTCTCTATTGCACTCACATCCCCACTAATCGTCCTCCCTTATGTAACATTATATTTTCAAATATCACTCCTACTCTTCGCACTTTTATGCTCACAAACCATCATATCCTCCCTCATAAACAATTCACCATTTATAGGTCGGTTTAAGGCAACCAATTACCCTTTGTTTTATAATGGTTAGTTACTAGCTACAAGTTCTAGTAAAACGCTTTTACTGCTCTTCAAGAAACCAGTTACTGGAAAAATGGTTACTAGTAATAAATTTACCGGGAAAATGCTTTTCTATAACCAAATTACCCATTTTTTTGTTGAGCAATGTATGAGCTATAGATAGAACAATGACATTGTTTATTGTTTTAAACATTTAAAAAGTTATCAAAGTTTACCACGTCATATGGCTTCACTAGTTATCATAGAAATGCCACAATTAATACATTGAAATGATTGTATTAAAAATGCAAAGAAATTATATTGATATTTTGCTAAATAAATATGGTTTTGTCTTGTTATTTAAAACTTTCATTGCTAATTGTCAAATTATTTTAATAATTGTATTGCCACTTCCTTCGCACGCGCATTCTCCTCTCGCCCTCCCCTGCCACTACATCCCATCCCGCATCTATCCAAGCCCTCTGCCAACCACTTCCAGCCCCAGGCCCACTGCCCCGCTCTCGCGCCACACCAATCTCTTGCGACGCGCGTCAAACCAACACAAGGCAACAAGAAAACTTCGAACTCGCACAAACCACATACATATCACGTCTATTAAGCCCTAGACCCACCTGTATCTACAACCCACAACACCATGTCCCCCCTCACTACACATCGTCCCGCAATTAGCATAACTAGTACAAGGAGATGTATATTATTGAAAATCAATGTTAGTAGAAGCGTGGTTTATGGTAATTCATAGGGTTAAGAGTACATAACCTTGCTGAGAAGTACCAGGGGGGTAGAGTAGTCCCTGGGCGTCATTGGCGAACCATTTAGGCAACTTTTTTCCCTACAGAACTCTCCGACCCTAAGAGTTAGGTAGTAGCGAACAAGAAAAACGCTCTTATTCCTTGCGGTTCACATAATCTGGATTAACAATAGCATACCGCTGAATTAATACAGTTATAGCATTGTATGGTATCAGCAAATCATACATGTCTGAAGGTATACTGGACTGTTCTTGCTAAGAAGAAAACCACAAAAGAAGATGCAATAATTATATAAATAAACATATCATAAGATGAGTTAATCGAGATATGTATAAACGGCTTACTGTTGATCGCAATATGAAACGTATCACTCATAAACTTATATTTCCTAACATGTGCATTATAAAACAGTTTGAGATATGGGCTGCATATTTATTAAATATTCAAACGTCCAACTAGCTTTTGTTTAGAAAAAAGACCCAAGGCAACCTACTTCCGAAGTTATATACTGTTCTATAGAGCTTATCGAAATGTATTAAATCCACTATCAAACTAAATTGTGGGGAGTGCTTACAGTTGACACTTTACGTCATATTCTAGAGTATTTGTACGTTGATCATATTTACCTGTAAAGTGTTGGTCAGTTATTTTTCATATTATGATCTACCTATAAGAGACAATGATAGCTCAGAGAAACCAGTTATCTGTCTTATCGTTTAAAAACATTACTTCATCTTATTATGTAAATATTAAGACACCAATGAATTATTAACCCTTAAGACATCTGACTGTCATATCGATTAAAACTGTTTATTACTGAGTGTTATACATCAACTTGTTTTTACACAATAGGTGTGATACGTTGTCATCTATGACCAATTTGCAAATATATTGCTTTGAATAGTTCATCATAAAATTACAAAGACACGTTAGATCGATATCTAAGAGGTAAACCATTTTTAAGAACAGACATCGTGAACTACCAGCGGTCCGATGTGTTAGCCTATGTAGGGCAATAATGATAGTCAATAATGTCGGCTATTGCGAACGAGAAACTATAATCACTCACCAAAAAATAAAAAGTACGTCAAGCGCCTAATGAGACTACATATTGGCACCGATGCTACGTGAGACTTTGTTCGTAGCTCATTCACATGACCAAATTTGGCTTAACCCACGGTGCATGCTATTGTGTTGACTAGACATATGTTAAATTAATGCGTTATCATATACATTCTCGCAAAATAAAGCTTGTGTGCATTGTGTCTCGTCTCTACTATTCTTTCATTAGCGAAGCCGTCTTGCAATTTTTCATGAATAAATCATTATTCAACTGCGGCTGAAGTCCGCACCTTGGAAACATAGAGTCACAACATTATAAACCTTTGTTAAGTATATAACATAAATATTGGAGGGTCACCGCGCACACGAATGATTGAATACTACGGGACAACCAAGTGGAATTGTGTAACACGCGTATTCAATATATTCAGATTAATCAACGAAATGTAAATTGGTTCTATCATTTATTCATTACTTTTTATATAAAATTGCAAAAAATATCTATACTTTCATGCACATTTCTACACTCTCACGGTAACAATGTCCTTTTAAACATTTCCTGTATTAAAATGGAGTTGCAATATGTCATATACTCAATAACATAGACTCATGTTGGAGAACACACAAGTTAAATGTAAAATAATCAATTTACACATAAATTTTGAATTAACTTGACATTACTGAGTTAAATACCTGATCTTAGTATTAAAAATAAGCTAAAGACAATAAGGCCAGACTAGTCAAGCCACTTGAATTGGTATATATCTGGTATTAAGAATACTATAAAAACTATTTTCCTTGCTATAAAGAAAACCATTTATGAGTATTGCCTACAATACAGGCACTCTATGATTACGACCTCAAACTATGCGCATATAGTAACAATAAATCAAAATGGCATTAATTGACAATACGATTCACAGCGCGATCCGAAATATTTAATCAGCATATTATAAATACTATATATTTATAAACCCCCAACGAAAAACAACAAACATCAGCCCGAACAACCGCACAAAACAATGAACCAACTGCAGAATAGAATAAGACGCAGATCCGTGTTTATGCTCTTTTCATGTTGTTACGATACCTACTTGTGCACGACAAAGTTAAAGGATCTATATTACTCAATGCGTATTATATACGACTTTATATTTAATTTAAAAATCACTTCATTATATTACGGCAAAGAAATTGATGGAGTAAAGATCCACAAAAATGCACAAAATATTCTATGCCAAATCAAATGTCGCGTTTCGACCGTCCACTTCATAGTTATAACAAGACATCGTACATTTCATATGGAGTTCAATGGTATTATCTGATGCAAAAATAAATAAGAGCATATAAACATACTAACAAATAATCTCGTTAATACAAATTAATATTAAACAAACTCTATTTCTATCCTAAATCTAGACGAATAGTCTATAACTTTATGAACCAATACGACCTCTCTGTACTCAAATATTATCAAATATAGATATGCGGTGTCGAAGCAAGAGGTCAAAAGTTTAAGCGTGTCATCTCCAATTTGTAATTTGATTAGCAATAAACACTTTGAGGACAATAAACATAGTGATCGAGCATAAAATTGAATGAACAAAGAAAACGAGGTAATTATAATAGACGATGGTCCCAAAGAGTAATATTTCCCGGCCAGCAAATGCATTTCATACAAAACCAATTGCAAAACTGCTAAAATATGTATTAAATATATTCACAAATACGGAAAAAGTATTTTATTATACATGCGCGTATACATGAAAATAAAATACTGTCACAAGCGAGATCCGTTGTGCATATTAATTATTTACACAATGATGATATTAGTACGTAACACACGAATCGAAAGATGTCATTTTTGATCAGTGAAATAGCTTTCGCAGATCGATTAGCGATAAAGAGATATTTTGTTTACATTTGGAACACGTACGTTGTGGAGCCAAATTATCTTAAAGCCAGATTATTTTTATTATATCACGAGTTTATAAAAACAAGTTCACGATACGAGAAATCGATGTTTTGTTGTAATACATCAATGAATACTGATTAATCAACAGATATATCATCCTCAACGAAGTGTATCCATCGAGGCACGCGATTCGTGTAATCAACAGACAATTACAATTATGGAAAATTAAATGAGCCACTATTTTAGATGCAATATCTTCTATCCCATATTTCCTTGCCTCGTTCATCCTTTGAAAAGGGATTTAAATGTATAAACAAAAAAGCGAAAAACTGCGCACTTTGATAGTATCCTTTCCAAGATATGATATGCGAGAACCAGCAAACAGATGTAGTGAAACCGTCTGGCTGACATTCCATGTCTTTCCATATTAGCGAAACAGTTAATTGCCTGTTTTATAGCATTTCCTGCTATACATACCATCTTCAGCTGAGTTCTCGTCAATTTCGCGGGGCTCTTATACATCTTTATAGCATATATATAACAATTTAATAGATAGACGATACCAATTAAATGATGTAAAATAAGTACAAATATGTGATTTAACAATTTGCAAACTTAAGGGCGCCGCCGATTGCGATCGCCAAATCAACTGAATACTTGTTGATTCCTCTATCCATAGACAGTTCGTCCACCAGTGAATCATGGCTTACATACAAGTGTCAGATGTTCATGCTTTAACAGTTTTGGTTCATTGAGTCATCTCTAATTCATTATCGTCATATAATTGGTATACTCCGTATATTGCAAGATTTCAGGGAGACTGTGAATTATGGCTATTGCTGTATGAGTGATGCAAATGCACCAATTATAACTATAGACAGCTAAAGGTCAGTCAAACAAAGCTTTATGAGGCGTGACATCGTCATTTCTGTTTCACATTGATTGTGGTACTTAATTGGGCATGTATTCTAATGAGAGCGTAATCGCTCTGTTTATCTATAGGTATCTATTAATACAAAATGATAAGGTATTAAATTATTTTTATGTTTTGTTAATATTTTAATAATTATTTTTTACTATTATGCTGACCGACTATTATATACTGAAGAGTAAATCTAGTTAAATGAGTATAACTTATAAGTATTTCAGATAAGATAATTTAAATATTCTCTTTCACCTAATGTTATATATAGAATAGCTTCATGTTGGATCAAAATCAAAATCAATATTAGTTAGTCACTTTGTGAGACAATAAAGTCTATTTCTTTTCATTAATGCTAATAAATAGAGAATTATATTGTATGTTTAACTAACCATTCTGATTAACTATCCTGAATTATGAGTGTAACTCGATATGCGATTGAGAATACCGAGCTAAAATAAGTGAAACAAAAGGGTAATATAAAATAATATTACTCACTGTCAGTACATAGCGATAAAATATAAAATGTATTGTTTCAAGATAAAAGTTTATCTAGAGCAATCACATGTCGACGTCCATCTTTGTAACCTCACTTATCCTAGATAGATTGTACAGATATGAGCAGTTTTATTCTATAGACTTAACAGCGAGTAACGTATTGAATAAGTCCTTTTATTGTAATAGTTAAACAATATCACTCACTTTGTTAGGATAAAATGTAGGCCATGTTTCGTGTTCTATGTTAGTGAATGACTCAAAAAGAGAATATATAATTTCAATGTCACAGCATTCCTATGTACATTACTACGTTTGAATCCGGAGTGGCAGCGCAACTTACAGGATACTTTTTTGTCTGCTTCTCTATTTAAATTTATTTCCAAGGGACATGGCCATCTAGTATCTTTTCAGAGTGCGAGTGAGCAATGAATATTCCTGAGGTCAACCCAATATTGCTAAAAGATCTCGATTTTCAACGATAACACTCGGGGCCTACTCAGTTCAGTTATACATTTATTCCTGAGCTCGCACCCAGCGTTGAACTATACATTATTCTATCATTGTGGTGTGCCCACCATGTGTGCTACAAAGTAATGCTTTATTCCTGGGCCACCAGTTGCACTGTAGTACATTATTGGCTTCCACATAATCTTAAATACACTTAAAGCACGCTAGGTCGACAACGATACATATATACGCTTGCCGAAGCATAACCATTTGACACTAGAACATTCCTATTCCGGGTCATTCAGATTGCAACGACGCACGCCAAACTAGCAACTCTATATCTTATTTGTCCATTAGTGTCATATGCGATTTATTAAACATATTATATAGATAATTAGTATTAAAATACTGCGCGAGCGACCTTACACTGCTTGGAAGTTTCGAATTGGGTGCTTTCAAGTTATATATTATCATGTATATTTCACAGTTACATTAAATTTAGTGGTTTTAATACATTTACACTATTGAGCTTAGTATTGTATATAAAAACTTTTTTCTTAATAAAGTGCATGTATGTTATATTGGATATTGTATTATCATTTCAGCCCTAAATAAGTTAGTTTTGTGCTTTTCAGAAACAGATATGATAAAATTATTGTTACGGAAGAAGGAGTGGATGTTACCGAGACGTTGCATTGCAATGTTGAAGATTATGTCCCGGTATGTTTTTATGTATTTTCCATATATTTTCATTATATTTATTTGACTGAAACACAACTAATTAGCACTTGCTCTTTCGTGAATAATTTTTAAATATATAGGTCCTTTTTCTTTCTCAATTCCAGCAATAACGTAGAAAGATATACATCATTAATTTAATGTATTGCAGACAAAACCATTTTTTTTGTATGTACATGTACATCATAAACTATATACAATACATAGTAGTTATTTAATGTTGTCTAAAGTATTTTCTTCATTTCATTTATTTCCTTTGTTTTCTAGTTTGCCTTTATATTATGTGGCACACACACAGCGTGCGCACGCATGAAACATCAATAGCGTACATGTATGTGCATTTTTGTTACAGATATGGACCAAAGATGTCAATGTTTTAATTATTTCCGGTTTGGATGACAGATGTTTAAAACCGGACTTTTTATATAATCTTTGGAAACGTTACCCTAGCAACCGGAAACACCTCTGTACTATATATAGATATCCGGGAGCTGGGCATCTTATAGAACCACCATATTCACCTCTAGCCAGGTCTACATTAGGTTATTGCCCTGAATCAGCCATTAAATATCTCAAAGGATTTACGACAGATAATAGTATGTTTAATAAAATATCTAATTTATCAATACAACATCTCGAGTATTTACCTTTTTTGCCCTTGAGGGATTCCCCAGCCTTTTTTTCAAAATTATGATAAAATAGGTTTTTTTGCTGAGTCTTAAGGAATTTATTTTTGAGCTATAAGTATTAGAGTATGTTGAGATCCATGCATATTTAAATGTACATATGTATTTTCTCACTGTGGCTGCGAAAGAACAATGTTGAAATAAAAATGCCCTTTTCTTGGAAATTTCTGTTAAAAGTTCATGTTAAAACTTGAAATGACAATTTTAAGATTTATAGTTTCTCATTCAGTTCACATTTGTATTTCTGAAATATTTATGATACAGGAACAATTTTAGTACTGTGGGGAGGTGAAACCGAGGCTCATGCACATGCACAGGAGGATTCTTGGAAACGAATATTGAATCATTTTCGAACAACTCTACAGACGTCACAAAAGAAAGGAGACAACATATTAGATAGCAAACTTTGATTAACAATGAAATTATTATTTCCAAGACTGTTTGTTATTACATTATATTGTCTGGCTTGCATTTTTGGAACAATGAAAATTTAAATAAAGTCTGTTCAGCTCTATATATAAATATTCCAGATACTTATAAAAACAGTTGATTTCCTTAAGAAAACATTCAAAACAATATAGTCTTACATAGTTTTAATATTTGTTAACATCACATTTTCATCCAATCACCTGATGTCCCATTGAATCATACGGGTTTCTCTGCATTTTTTTTAGCCAATCGCTGACCACGTTACAACCAAAAGGAAATAGAAAATAATAATAAAATATTTTTGACTGTTCAGCATTTCATAAAAGTAAGCAAACGCTTTTGATTTTGAAAACAAACCAGCACAATCCCAATAAATATTAATGTATTTTTCTTTCATTTTTGCAAAACAATAGACAGGATTCTTTCCTTTCTTCTCTTCTATATTTCATTTTCTCAAAATCTATTTTTGTTTTTGTTATATTCGGCAAATGTACATGTTTTCTAAGTCATTGTAACGCAAATATATAAAAATCAGTTAACATCGTTAAATACCATTCAAGCTAGAGAACATGTACACCCAATCATTTTTATTGTTCTTTCTTACCTAAAATCATTTTTAAAGCCAAGTACTATATATGTGTGAGTTTTGTTACTTCTATCTAACTGATAGTCATTCTTGTAAAATAAGTTATTGTAATTTATTGCATCAGGGAAGACCCGTTGCTAATGTTGAGAGAACTTGTGGGTCAACCCTTTTGCCAAATATGTCATGTCATTGTATTGTAACTGTCTACATGTATGTATATGTCTTATTTTTGGCAATAAAATATGTTTAAATCAAATCAAAAAAACCAAAAGGCTAATCACTTTCGGTTCCAGCAGTATAAATACAATCAAAGATACATGTATAACATTTCAGTTGCTCTATGGCAGTATTTAAATAACCCATCATGCAAAAATCAAGCGGTGTTACTGTATGATAAGAGTATGATTGGACAATAATTTTAAAAAAAACAACCATGCAAAGTGTCATTCATACTTTCGCTGATATTCATCACTAAACGTTTTGGTGTTTTTTTTAATTCATGTCAGCTTTTTTCCGTATATGTAAAATGAGAGCCGTCTAACCAACTTTTTACCAGAGGTAAAAGATATTCTTGCAAATTTAACTTAAAATAAAGCAACAGGGCCGGACGAAATTAGCCATCGAATTTTAAAAGAAACGCGAAACAGTATTTGTTATCCTCTTAGTGTACTTTTTAATAGATCACTCAATGAAGGCTCATATCCCAGTTCCTGGAAACTTGCAAATGTTATGCCCCTTTTTAAAAAGGGTGACCCCCATATTCCCTCCAATTATAGACCTATATCACTAATAAGCTGCATTGGGAAAGTCATGGAAAGAATTGTATTTAAGCATATATATAACCATTTGCATTGTAATAAATTGATATATCCGTTACAATCAGGGTTTCTTCCGGGCCATTCGACCGTTTATCAACTAATCGACATGTATCATCAAAATTTGCGAATCGTTTGACAAAAAGCAATCTACTTGCATTGTATTTTGTGATATATCAAAAGCGTTCGATAGGGTGTGGCATTCGGGTTTACTTTTCAAACTGAAACAATATGGTATAAATAATGAACTTCTTACATGGATTGAAAATTATTTATCTAATCGTAAAACAATCTGTTTTTATTGGTCCTGAATGTTTCGGAAGTGCTAAATATACCAGCGGGTGTCCCACAGGGCTCGGCCCTTGGTCCCCTTTTATTTCTTATATATGTGAACAGATATTGCTGAAAATCTATTAAGCGTAACAAGACTTTTTGGCTGACGATAGCTCTTTATCCGTTTCCTCTAACGATCTAAATTACATTGAAAGTACTCTTAACTCTGGACCTTGAAAAAATAAATAAATGGTCTAAACAATGGTTGATTAATTTTAACCCAAATAAAACACGAAGTTATGTTCTTCTCTCTCTAAAATCATGCAATCAAAACCCTCTTTAGTTTTTGATAATATCTCTCTAGATTTAGTGGATAATCACAAACATTTAGGATTAACTCTTTCTTGCGACTTGAAATGGGACACGATCATATTAATTAATATTTTCAGCTTCTGCGTCAAAAGTATTAGGCTCTATGCGTGCTTAAAATTCCAACTTAAAAGATCTACTTTAAACCAGATTTATATATCTTATATGCGTCCGATACTTGAGTATGCCTCAATTGTTTGGATGGATGTGCTGCATATGAAAAAACAATCACTTGAGCAATTACAATACGAAGCCGCTAGAATTATTACGGGTGCAACTCGGTCAGTTATCGATAGATTTTTTGGTCAAAGAAGTTGGCTGGGTCTCACTCTCTGATAGGCGAAAAAATTCAAAAACTTGTAATTGTTTACAAAGCTAAAAAAGGTTTACTACCGACTATTTATCTTCTTTGTTTCCGCCTACTGTGTCAGAAATTTCTTCTATTCCTTTGCGAAATAATAACGACTATGTTACTATTGCTAGACGCACTCAGTTATATAATGCATCGTTTTTACCATCCTCGTTAGAATTATGGAATAACCTCGACCCAAATATTACGAAAAACTCTCAGACACTCAACATATTTAAATCTAGACTAAAAAATCTTTTTAAAAGCACCAACGGTTCCGAAGCACTATTTTTTATGGCCAGAGATACTTATCATATTGCATACACGTCTAAGAAATAATTGTAGTAATTTAAAATAACACGATTTATATAATAACCATTGCGCGAAGACCATTTTTGTCAATGTGATATTGTGATTGAAAATGCCGAGCATTTCTTTTTCAAATGTAATCGTTACTCGAACAACGAATAATACTCTTTCTGAAAACTCGATCTTACCATCCATTAAACATTGATACACTACATTGTCGTCTCGTGAAAATTTAGAATACGAAGATAACGTTTCATTTTCGAATCAGTTCAAAAAATTTGTCAAGACAACTCATCGTTTTGATAATATTTGACTTTTCATTTTATGTGTTTATACTAAAATTCGTCAATTACATTGGCTTTTTTGTTCTAAATCCAGCGTTCTTAATAACATTATTCATTACCCAATCTTTCCCCCTAAAAACCAAACTTCAACTATTTTAACAACTACAGTGAGATTTGGATGGCAACCTGTGGATGGATCGCACTTTAAAATCAAAAACTGTACATTAAATCTTAATGAATAAATGAACTGTTCAAAAAATGAAATACATATTTTTTTAAGTTTATATGCATGTTTAAATAATCATTGTTGCCTTAAAGTATTTTCTTTTGTAAAATTAATTTCTGGGAAGGGCTTAATCTAATGTTGTGAGAACTTGTTGCCCAACCCATTTGCATTTTGATATATATATACTTTATTTGTATGCTATATTTGTAAACATGTATTAAATGCAATAAAATATGTTTAAACTAAATCTAACCAACTTGCTTCCTTTAACTGCAACTTCTAGCTTTGCAATGCTTCTACGTGCATTACCATATATTACTTCTCTTTTGGAATTTACAATTTCGTAATTCTATAGCATTACAAATTCGATCATAATTCAATATACTTACTCAATACCATTTTTAATTTCACAGGGGCCACTGATATAAACGGCTTGTAGAAAATATTGCGCGATATATAACTTGCTATTTTAAGAGTCCAAGACTAGATGTTCCTTTAGCCATATAATTAAGTTAGTATTTAAGGATTTTCTAGTCAGAGTAATCTAATACAGATAAAAAAATTGAGTACTCACACAACATTAACATTTTTCCCAGTAGGCTGGAGTTGATTTCCGTACAAAAAATCTATAACATGTCGAAAGACATTCACTCTCAATATGCCTCCCTTTTAAACATATAAATATGATTTTGAAGGGATAGGAGAAGGGTCTCGATGAGTGACGTTAAAAATATATACAGTACGGGGTCGTAAAATCGGCACGGGTGTTTGATACACGTGTATATTCATCAAAAGTCTATGTGTCAGGGGAGATCTCGTATCTGTATTGAGACATTCATAAATCAAAGCACAGAAGGCGCTGAATTTGTTTGGGTCTCAGAATGTCAAAAAGGTGAAGGT